CTAGAGAAGTTTGGGCTAGCAGTGCACTTGTTGAAATGTGATTAACAGATCAGTGAGAAAAACACTGTTCCCTTATGCTCCCTTCACAGTGGCAATGGTGGTCTTCCTTTCCTCAGATTCTTAAAACTGCATGCCACCTTTTCTCTTCCTCAGCCACCTTCAGGTTAAAGGCTCAGTTTTTCTAGGACTAAGAAGAGTTGACTAGCTCGCTGTTAAGCTATTATTTTTGTTCACTCTAAGTATTGGGGCTTCTCCATTTTCTGCATCCAGGATGAGCATCTAAACAAGATCTTTCCAGTAGGATTACATATGGAATTTCCTGTAGCTATTTCATTTTCACCAGCAGCAACACAATAGATAATTCTTCTTTTGTGTCTTTGGGAAGCAGATAAGGAAGGATAATAGCAGAGCTAGGTGGCAACTTTAATTGCAGACTTTTATTGATGGAAACCTCGACTTTATAGCTGAAGAAGTAACGCTATGTCCCAGTGAGCTGTTGAGACTTGAATGAGATGATGCTCATGAACATGTCGGATAAACTGTTGCACAAAGGTGAAAGGTAATATATATTTTAAAGATTAACTTAACTTTGTTGATATTCTAAGGAATAAGTGGACGGTATCAAGGTAATTAGCAAGTTTGGTTGCAGTGAAATTCCAGAGTCAATACCTTCCAATTTTCAGTCTGATGTTTCTTCTTCAGTTTCACGTGGAAAATTCCAGCTGGCACAACTGTACTTACACTTTTAGTTAGGGCAAACACGAAGACACACTGCTGGATGTCAGCTTACAGATGAGTAACTGTTAATTAGAACAAGGAATTCACATCAAATTTGCATAAAGTCAAGTCAATTTGCCAAGCAGACAGCTGGCATATTAAAGGATGTGTATCAGTAAAATTGTCAGATGAATGTCTTTGACTGGCACGAAAGGGTTGGAAGACATTTGGAAATGTGCTAAGATGCTAAGATAACATGATGCTGCTTGAAGTAGCAGCTGTCTTCATTGTTAGACCATACCAAATGTCAAACTTCAATGAGTTCAAATATCCTATTACCTAAACAATAATCTTCAAAGCAGTAAATCAAACCCCTTGACAAGGAAAAGGTCCATGGCATGGGAAGTGTATCAAGATGGGGCTGTGAGAATTAGTCATAGGGTTTCAAAACTTTGTTCCTCTTTAGTACCTCCCTGTAAAAGAAAGAATAGCATGACGGGACCACAAAAATTTTGAACATTCTGTGATGCCCAGGAACAACACCTGTCAAGACTGTGCCCTTCTTCTGTGTGATGGTGAGAAAATTTGCAGGCAGAGAGAGTGTGATGATGATTCATTTTATGTGTTAACCTGTTGGGGCCACAAAGAATCCAGTTGTTTGGTTAAGTATTTCAGTTAGGGTGTTTTCAGATGAGGCTAACATTTAAATTGGGAGACTGATAAAGTAGATTGTCCTCCATAATGGGAGTGAACTTTGAGCCACTGAAGGTTTGAATAGAACAAAGTGCCCACTCTCCTCTAGTCAGAGACAATTCTGCAAGTCTACCCAGGTCAGACTGAACCTAAAATGTTAGCTTTGCTAACTTTGGATCTGCTGGCCTCCACAGTAATGCAAACCAACTCTATGTTTTACCTGGTTTAGGAAACCTTGATAAATATAGATTTTTTAAAATCTAGTGTTACAAAAGCATTTCTTTAATAATAAAAATACTTGAAAGCAAACAATGCATAATAAAATAAAATGAAATAAATAAGCTTTTGAAAAAGAAAAACTTTTTAATAGGTATATCTTACAGCATTTTGACTTGAAGATATTATCTTCTGATAGACAAAAATTTTCGTGAACTTCTCTGTGGAGACATCTATATTTGGAAATAGTTTGGCTCATATTTAAGGCTTAATTACCAAATCAACAGAAAATTTCCATTGTGTAGCTATGAGAAATTCAAATCCCTACGAAGTCAATACTTAACTAAGGTTTTAATTAAAAAGAGCTTGATAAAATTTTAGTGTGAGTCTTGAGAATCTATGTTCCCAAATAGCAAAGTAGGTAAGCATTCATTATCCTGATGATCAAGATACTTAGGTTGGTGAACAATTTAACTTTTTAAGCCATGTTTTGTGTTTGATTTTTTTTGTGTTATTTGTTAGAATTAGCTATAGATGTTGGTACTGAGAGTAGTTTCACAGGAACACAATCACAAGGATTGATTTTCCAAATTGGAGTTGGTTCTCTAATTTGACTATATTGAAAGAAATTTCCAATGGTAAAGAGAGCACTGAGTCCCTGTCATGATCTAGCAACAGATGTATACAAAATATCACCATTGGATATTCCATATCAATCACTTACAGAAAGTGAGGATCTGGGTGACTGTGTATATGATACTTTTGAATTTTTTTTTTTTTTACAAATTAACAAGTGTGATAAGATTATCTGATTACTCCTAATGTTACTGAACAAAGTGGGGAAAGAGGAGGTTAAACTCAGAGCTTCCAATTTCCAGATCAAGGGCTCAGTAAGTGGCCTGGAAGCTTCTGTGTCTGCTCTGAAAGAGGCCCTCATTTCCTGTCTCCACAAGGCTGAGAGTGCTGAAAACCAAGCCCAGAATCTCATCCCAAGAGTGATTGAACAATAATTGGATTCCTAGCTTCTTTCCCCAGGTACCCCTGTCTCTGCCCAATGGGTCCAGTGTTGAAGATAAGAATTCATATTCAGTAGTATGAATTCCACTCACCAAGCCAGCCTGGCTACAGCTATTGACCAGTCTGCCGGCAGCAGGGACCAACACTGAGCCTCCAGTATGTCAGCAGGGCAGGTTGATTATATTGGACTACCTGTATCATGAAAGAGGCAGTTTTTTTCTTACTCCCATAGACACTTACTCTAGATACTGATTTGCTTTTCCAGCATGCAACGAAGTTCTTCCAAAACTATTATCTGCAAACTTATAGAATGCCTTATCCATCATCATGCCATCCCATGCAGCATATTGCTTTTGATTAGGAAACTCACACTTCAGCTTCAGTGGAGTGCTGCCATGGGCCCTTGTGCATGGAATTCTTAGTCTTACCATGACCCTCATCATCCTACAGCAGCTGGCTTCATGGAGTAGTGAGTTGGCCTTTTGAAGGCTCAGTTACAGTGCCAGTTAGGTGACGATACCTTGCACTAATTGGATGATGATCTACAAGAGATTGCATATATTATGAACCAGCAGCCACTATATGGCACTATTTCTCCCATAGCCAGTCTTCACAGGATCACAAATCAAGTGATTGATCCTGACTCCAAGGGGAAATTGGGCTGCTGTCCCACAAGGAGGTGTGGAAGAATATTCTGGAATACAGTTTTCTAGGCTCTCTCCTACTGTTATCATGCTCCATGGTTAAAATCAATAGAAAATCACAACTCAATTCAGATAGGGCTACTAATGGCCCAGATTCTTCAGGAATACAGGTTTGGGTCATCCTTCCTGGAAAAGAATTATGACCAGCTGAGGTTCCTGCTGAAGACAAAGGAATAAGAACAAGCAGAGGAAAAGAATAGTCATGAATACCAGTTATGACCAGGTGGCCAACTGTAGAAACAAGGGCTGTAATTGTCATGAGAATTTTCTTCTTATTTTGCTACTGATTTCTTTGTATGTGCATAATTATCGAATATCTTAGTTTCCTTTCCCATCTTATTCTCTTATTACATAAGATGAATCAACATTTAAGTATTGTTTACATCACAATATGTAAGTTACAGGATATTGAGAAGGTAAGCATCGTACAAAGACTTCATATTCTCTTCTGGGGAAATGGTTAATGCATCTCCAGTTGTACACAGATATCTATTATCCATTAGGTGAATTTTGACCTTGTTAGTATCTTTATTTGTAAATTAATCATAGCTTAAGGAGAAGTATATAAGTGTTAAATTGACAAGGGGTGGATTTGTGATGCTTATATATCAACTTGGAGGATGTTTTTGGAGAAGAACAACATTAAAATTAGTGAATTTTGAGGAAGCAGATTGCCCTTCATAATATGGTTGGAGCTCATCCAATCAGTTGAAGGTCTGAATAGATCAAAGAACTGGCCTCTGTCAAATAAGAAAGAATTTTCCAGTTTTCTGGCCTTCAGCCTCAAACGAGAACATCAGCTCTGCAAATTTTGGACTTGCCAGCATCCAAAATGATGCAGTTACTTATAAAAAAAAATTCCCTAACTATCTATCTATGATTGATTCTGCTTCTCTGGAGAACCCTAACCAATATAAGTGTCCTCCACAAACCTGATAGTTGGGTTTATTACTTTATGATCTGAAAACCAAAATTAAACTAGCAATAGAAAATGACAATGTCTTAGATATCCTAGAAAGCAGTATAGCAAAACTGCTAGATGCCTAAATGCTGCTCTGTTTCTTTAACATAATGCATTCTTCATGTAGATTTTATCCTTTACCATCAGATAGTCCAGCAGAACTATTTTGTAAAAACAGGATTCTGTGCAAAGGAAAAGGACTGCCATAGCCCATTGATTTCTTCTGCCTCCTAACAATTATCCAAGAGAGTGTTATTTAGGAAAAAAAGGAAAGAAAAAGAAAGGAAATCTAAATTGATTTTACTTCAGCTTAATCAACCACATTTTAGCCAGAGTTTTCTCCAGATGAATTTTGGCTATTTTCCAAACCCAAAACCACCCTCCATAAATAATGATTGTCAACACAGACAATACTGAAAAAATCGTGCTATAGATTATAAAGGCCATTTTAAAAACAGAGCTCTGAAAAATCTTTCAAGAAACAGTAGTAGGTTTGAGTTGAGAGAATAACTTTCAGGCTGACATGGAAAAGAAGAGATCTTATTTGAATATTATATGACATCACACACACATAGCCTGTGATATAAATATATATGGCCTATGTCACACATGCTTTCATAATTAGGCCATTGTGCCAGAGGCTGTAAAGCAATGGTGGGAGGGGTGGAAAGAGGTATTTGTGCTGAGGAAGGTAGCATGACTTGCTGACTACTCAAGTCTATTTAGAAAACTTGAATTTATTTAATTGCTAGAAACCTTCTATCAACTTCCTGTGCATGTAGAGGGTAAAGTCACATATTTAAGGATCTTATATTTGTGAGTTGTATGTTTGAAATCAGTTTTCTTTTTTAAAAAAAAAATAATTTTATTGGTACATTTTAGGTACACAGTATAATGACATTAATCATTGGAAATTTGCACCTTACATAATATTTCTTGGTTCTTATTTTTTCCCCCTTCCCCTGCCCCTACTTCAACCCCTCCATCCCTCCCTATTTGCAAAGACTTTGTTTCTATTTTTTCATTTTCTCATACTAATTTCATTCCCTTCTTTCCTTTCCCCTACCCCTCCCACTTCCCCTTTGCCTCTTTTCTTCCTATTTCTATCTATTATACCTTCTAGTCCTTATTTACACTTTCAGTTTCTCACACTAGAGAAACTATTCGGTATTTACACATGTGTGCCCTATTTATTTCACTTAAGAGTATCGCCTCAATGTGCATCCATTTAGCTATAAATGTTTCTAATTTCTCATTTTTTATGACTGAGTAGTACTCCATTTTATAAATGAAATCAGTTTTCTATGCCTACTTTTGCTTAGGTTGAATTCCCACAGTGCATATAGGCAGACAAGTCAACAATCTTGGCACATGCTGGGTGGTAGCAGGAGTCAGTCTTGCTTTTACCATTTGCAGAGGATATTTCACAAAGCAAATTCAGTGCCTTTCTAGGTGATAAATATATTTAAAATGGAAGGAGGGACATAGTCAGAATTTCTATTTTTAAGTTAGGGTCATGAGTTTATTTGCATTACATTTTTTTTATAGGAAACAATCACTTCTTCCTCTGAATTCTTACAGAACTTTGGTTCTATTTAACTGATACAGTTTTTACCTCTTGTGTTTGTCATTTGTATATGTATCTTTTCTCTTACTGCTTTCAGTTTTATAGCATTCATGATAAATGAAAATCTTGAAAAGATAGAAGTGGATTGTATTTTTCCTGACATTAACTTTTTCTTTTTAGTTTCCAGTGGTTAAAGAAAGGTTCCAGAGGCAAGAAATTTTCAAAGGAAAAACAGAGATCAGGAAAAGGCTAGAGAACCACTGAGAAGGTCAGGTAGTAGTCTGTGGTGTTTGTGCATTTGTGCTGCAGCAACAAGAGACTGAAATGTCAGTGACTTACCATACATAGGAAGTTTACTTTTGCTTTTTCTCGTAAGATTCTCAAAGGGGATGTTCCTGCTTAGGTGGCTACCTGGGGAAGCCCTCTTCCAGGGGAAATTCAGGGACACATGCTGTTTCTGCCTGGTGGATTCCTTGTTCCCCAACACCAAAGCAAAGAGCATGGAAAGCATCCCTGAAGGACTGGGTCAGGGAGAGGCGTGCATGACTTCTGCCCATGTTTCCCTAACAGGGCTGGATCAGATGGGCTCCCTTATAAAGGCAGCTCAGAGAGATCATCTTTCTCGGTGCCCAGGTTAAGGTGTATAAGACAGGTGGAGCAGGCTTTCACAAGTGTGGTGATGGCATTATCTCTGCCACAGTGAGTAAATACCCATTTTATCACCATATGAGCTTATAGTGTGCCCACCCCTTCCTTAAGAGAACAGATCTGGGTCTTACTGAGTCACTGCTCTAGCTCAAAGCCCAGATCTCTCCAGTGATGTGTCACTTTTCCATTTTCCCCTTCCTTAGATTCAAAGGTGATCACAAAGCAATCTTTAATTAAAAAGATAGGCCATCTAGTTCCATGGGCACATTCAAGATATAATGTTGGAACAGGGATGAGATGACAACAACAAACAGATGAGTAAGGCACAGCAATTGTTGGTCCACAGCAATGATAAGATTCTGAGAAGCAGGCATTAGATGGCTCCTGGGCTGGGGGCTGAGCGAATTCTTTAGCTAAATCCTGACACTGTTCTTTGAGAGGAGCCCTTGTCTATCATTTCCCCGGGGCCTTTGGCTCCATCCTTCGGAAGCCCATTCTTTTCCACTGTCCTCCTCAGCTGCCATAGAGATCGGAGTCAGAGAGGATGCTCAGCTGATCACCCGTGAAACTTGTGCAGCTGCCTTCTTGCTCTCAAGGTAGGCCCAAATGCTGTGTAAGGTTTTAGCAGTCAGAAGCACTTTTAGTTGGAACTTAATGCTTTCTTTCTTTGCACATGCATTTTTTTTTAAAAGCTTATATTCTGGCTTCCAGTTAGTTCTATGTACCACCAAATATGCTCAAAATTATCTTTTACACAGTTTTTTTTCATGTCTGCCTTACTTCTTTCCTTCCTCATTCACCAACTCACTCTCTCAATTTAAAGGAAATTACACTGAGGCTGATAGGCGTGCGAAGACCACGCATGTTCATCTGGTTCATTTTTCAGAGCCTTTAAAGTCCCTATCTCTACTGCTTAGGGTCTAGAAGCAGTCCTACAAGACTCCAAGTTTTTTATTGTATCCATTTCTTCTCTTTTTCTCTTATCACTCAGCATTCTCTCTTGAGCTCATCTTTTTCTTATAATGCCTTATCGAGCCCACATGATAGCAGACAACACAGAGGGATGCTTGGAAGCATATACTATTATAATGTTAGAATCACAACTAGGATATGGATTATAGCTGATGTGGTCAAATGTTTGGAGGGTCTGAGAAAAGACCTTCCCTCTTGCACAGTGCACAACAATTAGAAATCTACTGCCTACTCCATGTTAATGATCACTCCACCAACAACATTCTATTAGTCATTGAACATTGGCAGAGTTAGAAAAAGAAATGGAGGACATGGTCTCTAAATTAAAGGAGGTCGCCATTTATTGGGACAAAGTCAGCAATGAAGTATTCATTGTAGGCATCTATCTATCTTAACCCACATACTTTCCCTTAAGCATATCAGAGACACATACCACAACTATATTATCTGAACCAAAAACTGGGACATATGGCCTGTCTTTGGGAGTGGATGTTTTGAGAACAATAGAACAGGATGTTTGAAGTTGTAACTAACTCAGAAAATCCAGGGCATTTGGTTGCTAGACATACTATCTGGGTTGAAAAATGAGGTTTGAAGAAAGGCTGAAGTTAAAGCCCCAAAGAGATAAGCTGGGAGGAAATCAGAAGTCTCTCCCCTGACAACCTTTGATGGAGAACCTAGTGTTAACCTAGAAATGGGAACTGACAGGAACAGAAATGTGCACAATTGTATGCATTTCATTCTTCACATATCTTACTGTCCAGTTACATTTAATTCTCTCATTTATTTTCCTCTGCCTACGTATTTAACAAATGCTTTTTGAGCAGAGCCTACACAGGCATTAAGTTAGATATGAGAGTCACTGGGGAAGCAAAGCAATCTTTGCCTCACATTTTTAGCCGAGTTAGGGAAATAGGCATTAGTCAAATAATCCTATGTAACAAATCTCAGGTAAGGGTTATAAAGGTTATTATAGAGTACCGCAGATTGTATAGGAAGGACCTAATGCACCCTTAACTTCCTAGAGGGAGGGAATCTGAGCAGAAGATTCCAGATGGGAGAAGGAATTGAGAAGGGAACAGAAGTAGGTGGTGGGCAGGCTCTCCAGGCACACAGTCTTGGAGGCAAGAGCTAGTAAAACAGACTGCATGGGCTTTACAGAACCGGTGCAAATGGAGACAGCTACAGCATGCAAGGTAGAGAGCAGGTGAGTGCGGCAAGGTGACTGAGGTCTATAGATTAAAAAAATGCAATGCAATTTTGAGAGTTTTACATGGGAGAGTGACGTGATCAAGTTGGCCTTTGAAAGAGCTACTCTGGCTAAGGAGGGTGAAAGGAGTGGATGTGAGGGAAGCACTTAGGATCTTGTTCATTATTCCCAGGAGTGATCGTGGTGGCTTGGTTTGTAAAGCCCTTTTTGATTTGATTTGATCATGCCTGCCTCTCCACTCTCACTTTTCACATTCCCCATCCATATTGAGCTCTCGAAGAAGGCTCCTATCTCACACTGTGCAACTATTGCTTCTTTCTTCTGTAACAACCTTTTCTCCTTCTCCAGCTCCCCACCTCCTTCTGTGTTTCCTGGCTAATTCATATTCATTTCTGAAATTAGTTGATTTCTAATCTAGGAAGCCTTGTCTGACATCTCTCTGATGCTCCATCTCCTTCACTCTTTCCCCAGTGCTGACTTGGAAATTCCTCCTACTCAGTTCTATAGACTCATTTGCATACATCTGCAAATGAGTTCTATAAAATCATTTGCATACATTGGTGGTGGCCCATACTGCACTACATTACACTTGTTTGCTTGCTTATTATACTAGGGAGTCATAAAGGGAGAACAATATCTGCCTTATTTTAACCCGCCACATAACATGTACTCAATAAATGTTTATTTAATTAAATTTTATGGTAACCATGTACCTAAATATACTAAATATTTTAAGGAACTTGGATGTTTTGTAAAGAACAATCTATTCTCATGTCAAAATCATGTTTTAATAAAATAATATTTAAAAATTAATGAGTTAAGCTTTCATTCACTAATTTCAAAAAATAAACATGCAGATTATACTCCTTGTTAAGAAGTAGTAGTTGTTGATGAGTTTGGCTTGCAACTCAGTACTCATTTGGAGGAAATTATTCATTGACATTTTATTATGAATAGAAAGCGAAGAACACATAACTTCATTCAGATAATGAGTGTAATTTCTTCTGACAGGATGATATACTGACCGGCTGCTGTTGTTATCCTGATGCCAAAACTATAGTCATTAAAAAATAAATAAATAAAGTGCCAGCTAATTAAAATGAAGCCTCTGAATGATCATTTGTATTGCTGGTCCTTTTCCTTAAAATTAATCCAGAAACCAGAGAAAAGCCAGATTTTTTATCCCATTAAGTTTATTGGTACATTTTAGGTATACAATACAGTTACATTCATCATTGGGATCTTGTACCTTTATATGATGTATCTTGTTTCTTCTTTATTCTCCATTCCTCTGCCCTCCCTTTGAAAAGCCAGATTTTAAAGAAAAGAGTCTTTACATTAAATTTCTGAAGGCATCTTGGTAAACATGCAAGCTTAGATATAAGTACATGGGTGCTTTAAAAAAGAAAAATAAATAAACATCTATAATATTGTGTATCAGGAAGACATCTACATCCAAGAGATTTTAGCAGACCAACACTTTTACTGGAACACCTAGGAATCTCAGTAATGTTCTTAAAGGTACCAGAGAGCTGTGGAATGGACAGCTATTAGAAGAGTTTATATTCTAGAGAAGTAAAAACTGTTCTAAGGTGAGTTGATGGTCATCAACAGTTTTTGTTTGTTTGTTTGTTAGCTTTTTAACTGGAGATAGTTGCCAATGCTTAGCTCGAGGTGAAGTGGGCCTTGGCCAAAGAGTGAAATAAGCTAAGGTTTTAGTAACTGAGCAGAACAAGAGCACAAATTGTAAACTTGTAGAGCCCTGTTTTTCCCCGGGGAACATTTGCTATATTCTGAGATTGCATATGGAAGCTGGGGCCTGGAATAAAGCTTCTCAAGTCAGAGAAGTCCTAGAAATATCTTAGGGGTGAAGTAACAGAAGCACACAAGCAGAAGTCTGTCCAAAGAGCACCTGTAACTATCAAGATGTAAGGTGTTTTTCACACTGTGAGACCTGGCTGGAGACTGGACTGGGAATTTCTGAAGGGCAGAGACTATTTCCTGCAGTCAAATGCCTGGGAAGACCACACCCTACAAGGAAAAACAGAATAGTAGTAAATCTTACTAAGATGGCAATCAAGCTCCATGGGTTACAGTGATCTATTCCTTCCTCTATCTGCCTAACAGAAGAAGAGGAAAACCTTTTCTAATTAGGGATATAATGATCTGAAGACTCTGCAGTGCTTCAAATAAAAATGAATACAATACAATAAAAATAATCAGACGTGCAAATAAGAAAGTATGACTGACACATTCTGCATTATCTCACTTAATCTAGAAAAAAATTAAACTCATAGATACAGAGAGTAGGATATGGCTGCCAGTGGATGAGGACTGGGGGAGGAACTGAAAGATCCTTGTCAAAGGGCAGAAAGTTTCAGTGATGATGAGTAAGATCTGTAGATTCATTGAACAACATAGTGACTATGATTAATGGTACTGTACTGTAAACTAGAAAATTGCCCAGGCACTAAATATTAAGTATTCTCATCGCCAAAAAAAGTACGTATTTGATGTGTTAGATGTGTTCATTAGCTCAACTTAATCATTTCTCAATATATATATGCATGAAGCATCATATTGCACACTGTAAATATATACAATTTTTATTTACTAATTATACCTTAATAAAGCCTGGGAAAACATTTAAAAAGAGTATAGTGAAATTAGAAAACATTACAAAAGAATGTCATTAAGTAACACACTTTTATTTTTAGAGTAATTTTAGGTTTGTAGCAAATTTGAGAGTAAGATATAGAAAGTTTCCAAGTACCTCCATCTGGCCACATGCACATCTCCCTACCATCAATATCTCGCACCATAGTGGAGCATTCATTACAATTGGTGAAGTGCACTGACATATCATTATGCGTCCACAGTTTACATTAAGGTTTGCTCTGTATGTTGTAATTCTGTTGGTTTTGACATACATATAATGATGTGTATCCACCACAATAGTATCTTACAAAGTAGTTTTACTGTTTTAAAAAGTCCCTTGAGGTCCTAATATCCATCTTTCCCTCCTCACTAACCCATGGAAACTCATGGACTTTTTACTGTATCCATAATTTTGCCTCTTCCAGAATGTCATATAGTTGGAATCCATAGTATGTAGCCTTTCATGTTGGCTTCTTTTACTTAGTATTATGCATTTAAATTTTCTTCATTTTTTCATGGCTTGATAGTTCATTTCATTTTATGACTGAATAATATTCCCTTATATAGATGCACTGCAGTTTGCTTATCTATGAAGGACATCTTGGCCATTATGAATAAAATTGTTACATATAAGGTATTTGCAGATTTTTGTGTGGACCTAAATTTTTAACTCATTTGGATAACATCAAGGAGCATGATTGCTGGATCATATGGTAAGAGTGAGAAATACCCATTCTGTGAGAAATATCCAAGCTGATTTCCAAAGTAGCTGCTCCACGCTACATTCTCACCAGCCTCCACATCCTGCCTGGATTTGGTGTTTCAGTGTTTTCGACTCTATCCACTCAAGTATTTACTGATGTACCTTTGTTGTTTTAAGTTGCAATTCTCTAACGATGTATAACGTGGAGCATCTTTTCATATGCTTACTTCTGTATATCACCTTTAGTGAACTGTTCAGATGGTTTGTTAATTTTTAATTGAGTTGTTCATTTTCTCATTGTTGAATTTTAAAAATTCTTATTTAGAATAATAGTCCCCTATAAGATATGTCTTTTGCAAGTATTTTCTGTCAGTTTCTGGCTTGTCTTCCTGTTGCCTTGCCAATGTATTTTGCTGGGCAGAAACTCTTAATTTTAATTTTTCTAAACATCGTGTTTATTTCATGAATTATGCCATTGATGCTATACCTAAAATGTCATTGACAAACATAAATATGATCTACATTTGTGTTTCTTTTCTAAAGGTTTTATATTTTACATTTAGGCCTATGACAAACTTTCAGCTAATTTCTGTGAAGACTGTGAGATCTGCATGAAGATTTATTTATTTGTTTTTTAATTTGCGTGTGGATTTCTAGTTGTTTCAGCACCTTTTGTTGAAAACATTATCTTTTCTTAACGGAATTTGACTGCATGTGTAAACCGATTTGTGACCTCTGTATTTGGTTCCATTGCTCTATATGCCTTTTCTTTCATTAATACCATTCTGCTTAGTTAAGATTGTTACACAGAGTCTTCAGGTCAGAGAGTATCAACACTTGGATTGTTTTTCTCCTTTTGCCATTTCATACAAGCCTTTTCTTTTCTTTTTTATTTATTTTGAAGTTTAAAAAAATTTAATTGACAGTAATTGTAAATATTTATGGGGTACAGTGTGGCTGTTTAATACATATCTGCAGGTAGAGTAACTGACAAATACATCATCTGATGATAAAGATATGTATTATCTCTTTGAAATGAGAATATTCAAAATCCTCTCTTCTAGCTGTTTTGAAATATTTAATTAATCATTGTCAATCATGGTCATTCTGTACTACAGAGCATTGTATGCTTTTCCACCTATGTGGAACCTACACATGATTGGGATACATTGACTCTATAGATGAAATTAAGAACTGACATCTTGGGCCAGGGATTTAGCTCAGTGGTTTTTTCACCTGCTGC